TTGTATCCCTCTCTGTCTGTCTGCTGGGATGTTGTATCCCTCTCTGTCTGTCTGCTGGGATGTTGTATCCCTCTCTGTCTGTCTGCTGGGATGTTGTATCCCTCTCTGTGTCTCTGCTGGGATGTTGTATCCCTCGCAGTTTGTCTGTCGGGATGTTGCATTCCTTTCAGTCTCTGCTGGATGTTGTATCCCTCTCAACCCAGTTTATCACTGACAGGCTGGGTCAAAAACCTGTCTCCAAAATATTCTAAATTGTATTGGTGTGTCCAGGCAGGTGACGTCTGCGGTGTTTGCCAGCGGGGAGAAGGTGGTGTCGGGCAGCGACGACCGCTCGGTCAAGGTCTGGGACATGCGCATCATGAGGTCGCCCATCGCCACCATCCGCACGGACTCGGAGGTCAACAGGTGAGTGACAGACAGACAAATGTGTACTGTTGGACGAACGTAAGGGACAAACAGACAAAATGTCTGCTGCCGGACGAACATAGGGAACAAACAGACAAATGTCTACTGTCGGACTAAGGGACAAACAGACAAATGTCTACTGTTGGACTAAGGGACATAGAGACAAATGTCTACTGTTGGACTAAGGGACATAGAGACAAATGTCTACTGTTGGAGAAACGTAAGGGACAAACAGACAAATGTCTACTGTTGGACTAAGGGACATAGACAAATGTCTACTGTTGGACTAGGGGACATAGAGACAAATGTCTACTGTTGGACTAGGGGACATAGACAAATGTCTACTGTTGGACTAAGGGACATAGACAAATGTCTACTGTTGGACTAAGGGACAAACAGACAAATGTCTACTGTTGGACTAGGGGACATAGAGACAAATGTCTACTGTCGGACTAAGGGACAAACAGACAAATGTCTACTGTTGGACTAAGGAACAAACAGACAAATATGGTCTGTCGGACGAACATAGGGGACAAACAGACAAATGTATACTGTCGGACGAACATAGGGGACAAACAGACAAATGTGTTCTGTCGGACGAACATAGGGGACAAACAGACAAAATCTCTACTGTTTATTTGTATTGTTTTTTATTTTAAAAATCCCGATCTATCTCTTACAGAAGTAGAGATATTTGCAATTGAAGGAGGTGGGGGTGCCTGGGGTCAGAGGTCAAATAAGACACTGCATAATTTTTCTGTGTTTTGTTTTAAAAGATTTTTACATTGCTAAGGTGGGTGGTTGGTTGGAATTGGAGGGCATCACTGGCAGGTCCTACTTTTTTTCCTTTCCTTCTGATGTTTCTGTCTGTCTTTCTTTCTTGCTTTTTCACAGCACTAAGTGACAGTCATTGTGTCGATGTGCTTCCCTTTACTTAGACATACAAACAAATAAACAAACTCTCCAGACCCCCCCCCCCCCCCCAGGGTGTGTTGTTCTTGTGGGTGGTTGGAGGGCGCACATTTCTGTACCCTCTATGTGTTTTTGTCTGTCAGTCTTGGCTCATGGGTCTTTGGCAGGTACCACTGACTGAGGTGTCTTTAGGCCATTCCCAAAGGGGGGGACATTAACATGTTCTTATACACAGTAGAATTGTTAATGGGCTGACTGATGTAATGCTCATAACTGTGCCTGATCTACAACAGGGAACTGCTGCTGTTTCTTTCCTAATCCTTACTATTGTCATTTTTCATCTACTTCTTTTGTATGTTTGTCCCACTCTTGTGACCTGCTATTTCCGGGGTGCCTTGATAGTCGAAGCAGACCTTGTGCTGTTGAAGCTAGAGAGGTGAGCAGAGTAAGTCTGATTCCCAGTAAAGACTTCTCTGTTGATACCCACCCCTTGGCGTTCATATGACCTTATGAAGTTGCGAGCGCCGTAAAAACCTCTACTAAAACTTTTTTAAAAACCTCTCCAGTACACCTCTAAGCTTGGGCACTTATGTGATCTATTTGTATTTGCAAGTGTCGTAAAAATTCAAACTAAAAGGAAACAAACAAACAATAGGAGTTGGGAAAGGATCATAAACAAACAAGCAATCAAACCAACCAACCAACCAACAATCACTTAAACCAACAAATAAACAGACAATCACTTAAACCGACCAACAAACAAACAGACAGTCACTTAAACCAACAAACAAACAAACAGACAATCACTTAAACCAACCGACAAACAAACAAACCAACAATCATTGAAACGGACTAACAAACATTCCACGTTCTCTCCCCGCTTGTGGCGCAGACTGTCGGTGTCTCAGACTCACAACATCATCGCCATCCCCCATGACAACCGCAACATCCGCCTCTACGACATCAATGGCGTCAGGATCGGCCGCCTCCCACGCAACAACAGACAGGTGAGTGTCGCTGCGGGTGGCTGGAGGGTGTCGCTGGTACGTCTTCCATGTCTGCCATCTCTCTCGGTTTTCAGTTTCTGTCTTTCGATCTTGAATTTTTCCTGACACTAAATGACCATTATTGTGTGGTTTTGTGTTGTTCTTGTGGGTGGTTAGAGGGTGCATTTCTGTACCCTCTGTTGGCGTGTTTTTGTCTATCAGTCTTGGTTCATGGGTGGTTGGCAGGTGCTCTGGTGAGGTTTCCCACTTCATTCCTATCAAACATCTTTCGTCCTGATCTCTCCTCTTTCTTTTTTTGTGCTTGTTACTCTCTTGTAACACCTCTAATCTTCGGCTCTTATATGACCTTATTGTGTTGCAAGTGCCTTTGAGCTTTGACTAAAATTGATTGTGTTGATATGGTTCTTGTGGATGTTTGAAGGGTGTTACTAGATCTAGTAAATTCTACTTCTTTACCATCTCACCCTCTCTGTGTGTTTCTGTTTCTCAGTCTTGCGTTTTTCCTGGCACTCTCTGACTGTTGTAGCTTATTCACTTTCGTCTGAACGCGGTTAAAACAAGATAAAATGAAATCGGTTTGTTTTAATCTTCTCAGATCTTTGCATACTGGTCTAAAAGTTGGATGACCTAAAGAATCTAAAAGCCCATTCATAAAGGACTGCAAACTAAGGTTCCGACACGTTTTCTTTGATGTAAGCCGAAAGTTGGACAAGAAAATAATAAGGGATTTACAGCATACACCAAAACTTTCAAAAGTTGACGTATTTTCCTCCACATCACACTCTAATGTACGCCAAAGAAATACAATTCAAGAGATGGGGTGAGTAATTTTCAAGACTCGCGTGGAGCAAGAGGAGACGTCTAGACAGTGGGGGATAAAATCTACAAGCTTACACTGTAATGTAGGGGCAAGGTGGGGTTGCTGTCTCAAAATGAGCAAATTGTAGGCTAGGTTACTGTAAGTCATTTATTTTAGTGATCCTGTGTATGCGTCCAAAGAGCCATTTTTAATATAGGGTTCAAAGAGAAAAACTTTTTCCTAACTGGATCAAAATTTTTAGAAAAATATTAATTTTTTGATCGCTGGCCTACAGAAGTTCCCTGCAAAGTTTCGTGGGCATAGGTAGATAATTAAATGAGCTGGAATTTTTTAAATTGTAGACAAACGAAAGTGAACAAGCCATGATATGTTGTTAAGGTTTCAGAGGCTGGGTGGAGGGTAACACTGGTTGGTCCTATTTCTTTACTCTCTCTGCATGTTTTTGTCTATCAGTTTCAACCCCCCCCCCCTGCTCCCCTCCTCTCATCCCCCTCCTCCCCCTCCCCTCCCCCCCCTCATATGACCTTTCTTTAAATGACCTCCACTCTCTCCCTCATATGACCTTTCTTTAAATGACCTCCACTCTCTCCCTCATATGACATTGCCTTCAATGACCTCCACTCTCTCCCTCATATGACCTTGCCTTCAATGACCCTCACTCCCTCCCTCCTCCCTCCCCACAGGGTCACTCCCGTATGGTGTGTGCGGTGGCCTGGGCCGACAACAACGCCACCTGCAACCTCTTCTCCTGCGGCTTCGACCGCAAAGTTCTGGGCTGGATGGTGAACCTACAGGGCAAGGAGTGAGCCCCCGCCTCGCCCTGCCACGCCGCCTGCACATGTCGGTCGCATTCGTCGCAGTCTCGGAGCAGACGCAGCGTTGAAGAAACTCGACGACTTGTTCCAAACGCGGCGACTTGTTCTGAGGGTAGCACACACTACTACAAGATGGTTCAGTCTCTCAAAAATGGGAAATTTACACGCGTTTGTGTAGTGTAAAAGATATAAAATGTACCCATGTTTGCATGATGTATTGTAATAAAATATTACATTTTCATGCGGTTGTGTTGTGTGAAAACATAAATTTTACTCTAATTGTAAAAAATGTAAGATTTAGTTTACACTCAATTGTGTATTGTAAACCACATTACAGGCAAGCTAAAAAAACCAGCAAAATTTACATGCATTTTTGTAGTGGAAAAAAACGCAAAATTTACATACATCTGTGTTGTGTAAAAAACTGTACAATTTTCACCTAATTTTACAGATGTAGTCACAGACTCTTTGTTTTTGAAAAAGAAGTTCTTGTAAAACTACATTTCGTCGGTAGGCTTTTCAGAAAGCACAATTTTTTTGGCGAAAAAAAAATATTTTCCATTCTTTTTAACAGTTATGTCTAGCCTACTTTCCTGTAGACTTACATCGTCTTGTTTTTTTCAACATTTAGAGTTTGAATTGTGGCAAAATATTTCTTGAGCACCTGCAGCTGATGCCATAGATTAAGTAAGCTAAGGCAGTTTTTTTAAAAATCGAGATTTTTGTCTTTGATTATCTAACCTGCTGGTCAAGATGCAACATGAAATGAAAAAAACCCAGTATGAAATGAAGTCGTGCAAATGTCGCCCCCGCCCTTTTTTAGGGTTTAATAAATTTGTTGTTGTTAATGTACATCAAATTAAGTGGCGAACCATCTTGTCACACATTGTGTGCGTCAACCCTTCGCTCTTTGTCAGCGCCTCAGGCAGGTTCATTGGCCAGCACGTCTTCGGAGTCTATCTTTAGAGGACTGACAGCTGTTTGAACTTTGCTCAGATTCTGAAAACTGCGGATGCTTTGAGTTTCGTTTTGTATTAATTA